GAGATTGATATGCTAAGCCGTCTTCATCATCGTAATCTTGTAAAACTTGTGGGTTACTATAGCAGTCGAGATTCTTCTCAGCACCTCCTTTGTTATGAGCTTGTTCCCAATGGCAGCCTCGAGGCTTGGCTCCATGGTAATATAACTCTTCACTTCCCTTGCTTGCTATAAGAGTTATTTATTAAAGACATTTTTTTTTATGTTTCAGGGCCTCTTGGGTTAAACTGTCCTCTTGATTGGGACACCAGGATGAAGATTGCACTTGATGCTGCGAAAGGCTTAGCTTACCTTCATGAAGACTCGCAACCATCGGTTATACACAGAGATTTTAAAGCATCTAATATACTCCTTGAGAACAACTTCAACGCCAAAGTTGCAGATTTTGGCTTAGCTAAACAAGCTCCTGAAGGCAGGGGTAATCACTTATCTACTCGTGTTATGGGCACATTTGGGTGAGCTCTCATCTCTCTCTCGAAAGTTTCCGTTTACAACTTTTATATTCTGAGTCACTATATCGAAACCTGTAAATCCATTTCTAGGTATGTAGCGCCAGAATATGCAATGACGGGACATCTACTCGTCAAGAGTGATGTTTATAGTTACGGCGTGGTCCTTCTCGAGTTGCTTACTGGTAGAAAGCCTGTGGATATGTCTCAACCTTCAGGCCAAGAGAACCTCGTCACTTGGGTAAGTTATACTAAGCCCTCTGCCTTTTCACTGTCAATAACCAGTGTTTTGAAAACTGGAACGGCCAGTTATGTTTTTATTAATTTAAAACCCGGTTGAACTACCATTGACTGAGTTTCTATGCCAAGTCAATGTTTTCAAAACATTGTCCATAACTTAGTTTATGTCTTGAATGTTAAAATTTTTGATTATGGATGCAGACAAGGCCAGTTCTTAGAGATAAAGACCGGTTAGACGAACTAGTTGATTCAAGACTAGAAGGAAAATACCCAAAAGAAGATTTTGCAAGAGTCTGCACAATCGCTGCGGCTTGTGTTGCACCTGAAGCTAGCCAGAGACCAACGATGGGTGAAGTGGTTCAGTCGCTTAAAATGGTTCAAAGGGTGGTTGAGTATCAAGAGCCGGTTTTAAACGCTTCAAACAAAGCTCGTCCTAACCGGAGACAGTCATCAGCTACGATGGAGTCAGAAGTATCTTCTTCTATGTTCTCTTCTGGTCCTTTCTCTGGTTTAAGTGCCTTTGATCATGAAAATATTACACGAACAAATGTTTTCTCTGAAGATCTCCATGAAGGCCGGTGAAGGAAAGAACCATGGCCTTCTTTTTGATTCTTTCTACTCTCACTTATTTTTATTTTTGTTTATTTTCTAGCAGAAAGTTATGAGTTTGGGACATCATCTATTACAGCTCCTTGGTGTTTGGATATTGAATTCTCCTTTTTGGAGGATAAAATTTTGTATATATCTCAGCTTATTTATTTCTCTCTATTTAACATATACTAACCACAATCAAGGGAGAGATGATGTTGGAAATGGCATAATCGAGGAGAACAAGAAATGGGAACCTCCTATCTATGGTTTTGCAAAGTGTAACATCTATGCTAATTGGCGGAATGCGACATGGGTCAGTGGCCAACCAGCCAGGTGTAGAGACGTGGCCAACCACCCAGGTGTAGAGACAAAGGTCTAGGCCATTGCATAGTAATACCATTGAACATGTTTAGTCCTAAGTCTAAGGAAATGTAGCATAAGTTATTATGCAATGAGAGGTTGTTTTGTGAGCTCTCTATGATGATTCAAACACCCAAGTTTCTGGTTAAAGAAGAGAGCAATATCACAAGACGAATACCATCACCAAAAGTCTTTTAAGATTGATAGTTTTTAAGGACATGGAATACACACGGTTCTCACAAGCTTAGTACTTCTTAGGCACAGTTCTAAGCTTGAGGGGGGACATGAAGTGTAGTTCTGTAGTCCAGAGTGTTGCCATTACAAGAACTTCAACAAAAAGAGCATTTAACCGGGTCTTAGGCAGTGGCGTGTCTATGCAAAGGGGTTGTTCAGAGCAGTTTTGGTGTGTGCGATGAAGGTTTATTCCAATTGGCCAGTTGTGAATAAAACTAAAGTATCCATACAACCTCCCATCTAAGTTGATGTTGCCATTAAGAGGTAGGTTGCAAATGGCAAGTGAGAAATTCAAGTGGCCTTCCAATTCAGCCACTCCTCACTAAAATAAAAGAGAAGTTTCCTTAAACTCAATTCAACATCATTTCCTTTTAAGTCTTGAAATGGGACTCACATGCCCCATTTCCTTTTATCGACATACGAAATGGGACTCACATGCTGAGTGAACGAACGAGGGTGGCCCATAAGTTGTGATCGGTCAGACGTTATAAATAGAATCAGAGCAGGTTAGCCATCTTGGTTCTAACCCAAGAGGCGTCTTGAGACCTATCGGGGCCGCAACGAAGACGTTGCGTTTTTGGAGAGGGAGTGAACTATAATATCCCGAGTTGTGATATATGGAAATGCTTAAAAGAATTTATTTGACTAACTATGTCACCAAAGTTGACTTATATTTTCCATCAACATCCGTTTATAACTCCAGAATTAAGCATGTTTGATCTGGTGTAGTGAAATGGTGGATAACATATCGGAAAATGATTCATGATAGTGCAAGTAAGGCCAAAACACAAAGAAATGTCAAGTGGTGATTGCAAAGTCAAGAAACAAGGATTTCAGACCTTTTGAAAAATTAACACACCATCCATCATATGGGATGGAATGCACGAGCCGAGTGATCGGGTGTGGAAAAACTATTAGCTATGAACGGTCGGGACATTACATTATATTTTACCAAAAATCAACAGTTTCTTCAAAATAACAAATTTACATTTTCCTAACAAAACTACAAAACCACAATTTTAAGATAATATAATTGTTTATTTTTCTGCAGTTTTATATTGTTTACATCATAATTTTGAAATATATGCTCTTTCTCCAAAAAAAAAAAAAAAAAAAAAGTTGAAATATATTTGGCGTACCAACAACAAACGGACACTCACCATAAATCTTTGTCGTAGATTGTTTGTTAAGAGAATTTTTTCCACTTTTGAATTGTCAAAAGAACATTTCCACTTTTTGAATTGTCTATCGGTGCCAATTCTGAAAGCTTTGTATACATACTTGACTTTGTACTACAGTTAAAATTACAAGACCTATGCGCTCCCGTAGGAGTCTCTCTTAACAATGACATCAATCTACACAAAAGACCAAAAAATATGGGAAAATATCTCCATAGAGGACACGGTTTCATTGTGGAAAATGATGTACTTCGTATTACATGTTTACAGGGACAACTGCAAAAACATATTAATTTTACACAAAATAAACATTGAACATAGTGTACCCCCACAAAAAATAACCAAGCACTTGTCCTCTGATCAAGAGGACTTGACAAGGTTCTATTTATGGGTTATTTATTCATCTTGATATATTTAAAATACATAGAACTTAGGAGATTGAGATATGAGCTAACGAGCGCCCCGTTTCTTGTTTCTGCCAAATGTTTTGGTAAACCACTCATGCTTGTATGAAAGCACGACGTATCCGATGGTAAATCCAAATATAATTCCAGGTGCAAAGCCTAACCCAGCTGCCATCCAATTCAAACTTTCCTCCTCTGCTTCTTCTTCTGATGACAGTGGCAGTTCAGACTCTGGTGGTGTAGGTTCTCCACAAATATCCTTAAGGGAAGGACCATAAAGTTCGGGGTTTCCCTCGTACGAAGAGCAGTTTTGTCGCTGGAACTGTGTACCTTGTGGTATTGAACCTTGGAGTTGATTATGTGAAACATTTATCCACGCAAGAGAAGAGAGGTCCCCGAGCTTTGCAGGGATCTCACCAGAAAGCTTGTTTTGGGATAGGTCCAGTGATTCCAGCGCAGTGACGTTTGCCAAAGACGAGGGGATGTGTCCTGTGAAAGCATTTCTTGACAGATTGAGAACATGGAGTTCCTTCAACAGACCGATGGATTCAGGGACTTTTCCATGGATTCTGTTTCCAGAAAAATCCATTGCTGTGTAGATTGTGAGGATACGTTCCATTTCCATTGATACTCCTTTATTGATCAAGACAAGGGAAGTGTAGTAGCCATAGACACGAGAATTCCCAATGTAGTTTGCTCGTGTATCGTTATCTTCATTCGAGGATATTGCAGTCCAGTTGAGGAAGTAATCCGCTGGTAAGGTACCGCGGAAGTCGTTATGTGATACATCAATGATTTTCAACTGAGGAAACCCAAACCAAGCCCCATTGGATTGATATAACATGCCATGAAACTTGTTGGAACGAAGGACAAGAACTTGTAGATTCTGCAAGGAACTCAACTGGAACGGAAATGTGTCGTTGATTTTGTTGCTCTCCACATTCAGAACTTCCAGAGCAGAACAATTGGTAAGAGATAAAGGAAGTTTTCCCTCCAATCGGTTGTGGCTGAGGTCAAACGACATTAAGCTGTAGGCATGCATGAACATGTCAGGAATACTTCCGCTGAGGCTATTGTTACGAAGATTTAGATCCGTTAGAGAGCTTTTATCATCCCCTAAACACCGCGGAATTGAGCCGTGGAAGTTGTTGTTTGATAGATCAATGATGGTAAAAGAGAATTGTCCACTACATAATGATAGAGGTATCTCTCCAGTGAAGTTATTTCTTGAAGCAAGCAAGTAGGTTATAGATGTGTATGGGATGAAGATTTTACCCTGGAAAGCATTTGAGCTTAGATCTAAAGTATCGATATTACTTCCAGGTACAGCTTTCAAGGATCCATCAAAACCTGATAAGGAGTTGTGAGAAAGATCCAGATCTTCTAACTCTTGTAGACCCCATAACCAGTCTGGTACTTGACCTTTGATGATGTTTCTCGAAATGTCTAGAGAACGAAGATTTCTCTGGTTTCTTATGAACTCAGGAAACTCAGTGATGTTGCAGCCTGACAAGTACAAACGCACGAAATTTGATGAAAATTTAGAATCAGAAGTGATGTTTGATGTTGAAATAGGAATTCCCGAAAGATCTAGTTTTCCTAGCTGTTTGAGAGAAGAGAAAACAGTTAAGTCAACTGGACTACTGACTTTGAAATTGTTAGATCCAAGGGAGAGACTTTGTAAATTAGATAACAGAGAGATATTCTGGAATCCAACGAGATCACTGAGTTGGTTCTCCCTCAAAGAGATGTAGGCCAATGAAGAGATTTGATACAAGGATGAAGGAACTGCTCCTGTAAAAGAATTACCATCTGCGGAAAGGACTTCCAATTTGGAGAGTTGGCCAATGTTAGGTGGGAGGGAACCTGTGAACTTGTTGTAACTGAGATATATACTAGGTAGTTTGGTTAAGTTGAGTAGTGCAGATGGAAAGTTTCCGGTGAGCTGATTATCAGAAACGGAAAAGATGAGCAACTGTTTTAGATTGCCAATTGAAGATGGGACTTCACCAGTGAAATGATTTCCATAAAGACTGAGACTTGATAGATTAGAAAGTTCACCAAGTGAAGATGGAATCCTCCCAGAGAAATTGGACTCTGTAAGTTGCAAAGAAACTAAGTGTTTAAGGTTGCCGATGGACTCAGGTATGATACCTGAAAAGGATGAATCGGCAATACGCAAGACTTGCAGAGAGTTGTTTCTAGGAAAAACAGGAAGTTTGCCTCTCAAGTTTGGGTTTGAAAACAGTATAATGGACTTTAAGTTTGGTATCAGGAAAACACTGCTTGGAAACTCTCCAACCAGATAGCAACTCGTAAGATGTAGAGATCTTAGAGAGGGCATGTATGAAAACTCGTGAGGGATTTCTGAAGAAATGTTTACGTAGCTCATATCCAAGACTCTAAGGTTCCTCAGGCTTCGAGCAAGTAGAGGGAGAAACAATGGTGGGTTTTCAATGGACAACAAACTTGGAGGCGCTGAATCATAAGAATAAAGATCGAGAGACACCAGATTGGTGAGCTGGAGAATTTCTCTTGGGATATGACCTTTCAGTGAAGTCGTAGAGAGGTTTAGTGTTTCTAACAACATGAGATTATTGAACTTAGCTGGGATTGGAGAAAGAGTGAAGTTGTTGTAGGCAAGGTTCAGACTTTTGAGATGTGTCAGTCTAAAAAGACTAGAATTGGGTTCAAAGGGACCATAAAGACAGCTGCAACTAAGGTCTAAACCAATCACCTTCCCGGACTTAATATCGCACGTTACACCATCCCAGTTACAACAGTCGGTGCTGCTGTTCCCCCATGAATCCGTCTTCGGGTAAGAGGTCACGTTCATTGGGTCACCACGATAATCGTAGAAGTCATCAGGCTTCCGAATCTTGAACTCCGTCTTGAGCTCGAGAAGCACATCTCCTTGATCCGGAAGACACAGGTCAGGTGTAAGAGAAGCAAAAGTGCGGACAAAATTTGAAATGGAGAAGAAAAGAAAAACAATGGTACAAAGAAAGAAGCTCAATGACGATGAATAGTTTGAGCCTGTCATAGCTTTTTCCTTGCCAACAGCTTAATCGATGTCTTTCTTTATAAGACTGTTCTGTCTCTCTCTCTCTCTCTCAACAAATAATCATAAATTTATGGCCGTTCGTTTGTTGATTGTTTAACACCTCGTGGGTTCCATCGAGATAAACGTTTGGATGGATATGAAAATTATTTGGCTACCAATTACGGACCGTCACCATATAGATCTTTGTCGTTGATTTTGTCAAACGAACTTTTCCAATTAAGAATAGTCAAAAAAAACAAAATTTCCACTTTGAATTGTCTATCAATGCCAATTTTGATAGCTTTGGACGCATACTTGAATTTGCACTGCAGTCAACATTGCAAGAAGACTAACAGTGACATCAATCTTCACAGAGAGAGGACGTATAGCATATATTATTTTTTTCCTGTAACGTATCCTAGTAACATTGGTAAAAGAAGCTTCAAGAACAATAATATGTTCTGACAAAAATTATTTATTTACTAATCACATGTTAGGCCAACTTTTAATCATTTGTCCCATGAATCTTATAATTAGTATTTGAAATGAGAGATGTCAATTGGGCGGGCCGGACGGGTTTGGGCGTGTCCGAATGGGCTTCATATTTTGCTGGACATATTTGGTCGAAGCCCAAATAGTACCATTGTCCAAATGAGACCATAACCAAATAATATCATAATTTAGTGTGATTTATTGGACTGTCCATGGGCCCATACGCCCACTTAATGTAAACACTATAATTTTCAGTTTTAAATAGTAAAATTCACAAAATTTCTTGTAAACTTCATCCTTAAATCACCATTCTCAAATAAACAAAGACTTTTAAGTCATCATTCACAAACAAACAAAGACTTTTAAGTCACCATTCACAAACACAAGATTCATAAGCATAAGATAAAGACACAAGTGAAACAAGTTCACACAAGATCACAAAAGATAAACAAGTTCAAACAAACAAAGACTTTTAAGTCACCATTCACAAACACAAGATTCATAAGCATAAGATAAAGACACAAGTGAAACAAATTCACACAAGTTCACAAAAGATAAACAAGTTCTTCATTTATTTTTCTTATTCATTCTTCCACCATCTTCTTCTGCTTCTACTTTATTTTCACCTCCATTCTCTTCCTCTTCCTCTTTCTCTTCATATTCATCTTCAGAATCACCTAAGACATCAACAAGAAATCAGAATATTTTCACATAACAAAAACATTATACAAATGGTAAAGCAGATGGTGAGATCAACTTCTATCTCTAAAACACCATTAGATCAATCAAAAACTCAGCGTGACAATAACTTGTACCCAAACCTATAACTTATAACAAAAGCCTATAACATAACCAATTATATTAAACCCAACATTCTACACTAAAAATTTTATACACTGAAAAAATAAGACTTACTCATTGGTTCGAACCCGCGCAGCCAGTTTCTTGTACATATGAGAACTTGTACATTGGATGGTAGTAGTCTGCTCCTGTACTTGGTAAGGACCCGGCTTCCAGCACTAAAAGACGACTCTGAAGATACTGTTGTAATAGGAATACAAAGCACATCAAACGCCATACGGGACAACTCCTTAAACCATGATTTATTGTTTTTCCAATATGTCAAGACATCTAGTTTCGGAAAGGCAAACATATCCATGGGCGGTTCATCCAAGTACACATCTAAAGCTGATCTTCCTTCTCCTGCATTCTGAGTAATGAATGCATAAAACCCCTGCAGTGAATAATCATTAAAAAGGTGATTAATACTTAAGAGCAAACCAGTAATTAAGATAGTTAATTGACTACTTACATCATATCCAGCTGGTATATTATTTGCCAGTCTCGTTTCTGAAGTGGTTGCAGTAGTTGTCTTAGTACTCCTCTTATACACTCCAAATAGCTTTTCAATCTTCTTGCGGATGCAATCTATTTTAGCTTTGCTTGTTGATGGGTTTAAAGTGGTATAACAGTATTCTAAGCACTTAAACTTCAGTCTTGGATCCAAGACCGCAGCAATAGCTAGTATATCACTGTAGTCATCCCAATATTTGTCAAATTTCAGCCTCATGATCTTCACCATCTCACGTATTGTATCATCTTCTGAAGTTGCATGATGTCTCAGCCAACTCTCTATTTTCCAGAATTGCATAAAATACAAGTTAGCGGTCGGGTATGAGGAACCTGAAATCAACTTGGTCATCTCAGCAAATGGAGACAAAAACTCACTGATGAGTTTTGCTCATGACCATTCCAACTCTGTCGGATAATACTTGTAGCTTGCCTCAACTTCAGAGAGATTACGCAGTGCATCCTTAAACTTAAGAGCTCTACACAACATGAAGAAGGTCGAGTTCCACCTTGTTGTGACATCTAAAATAAGACCAGCTTTACTCTTATTCTCAATACCAACTGTTTCCACGCAATCTTCAAACATGTTTTCCCTAGACTCTGAGCTTTTTACAAACTTCACAGTCTCTCTAATCTTCTCTAAAGCTTCACCAATTACTGACAAACCATCTTGAACAATCAGATTTAAGATGTGCGCTGCGCATCTTATATGAAGAAAATCACCACTGCAAACCAAATCTCTGCGGAGCTGTTTCTTTAAAAACCCTTGCATATTAATATTTGATGTAGCGTTGTCCACCGTCATAGTAAACACCTTCTTGTCTAAGCCCCACTCTTTAAATAACTCCATTATCTTCTTAGCAATCCTTGCACCGGTGTGAGGTGGAGGAAACGCACAAAACGACAGTATTTTAGCTTGTAGCTTCCAATTTTCATCAAGATAATGAGCCGTGAGACATAAGTAACCCTCTACCGTAAGTGCTCTCCAAAGATCAGTAGTGAAACTGATCCTACCAGGAACTTCACTCAATAACTTCCTAAGATAAGCTTTCTCCTTCTCAAAAATACTAAACACATCAGATACAACCGTGTTCCTACTCCAAAATTCAATATTCGAGTTCGCATAAGCAAGAGCTTCTCTCACTCTCCTGTACTCAACAAATGCATACGACAGATTATGCTCTACTATAGCCAGAGCCATCATCTCACGGAAGACCATCAAATCTAACTTTCTATTACTTCCAGGTGTAGATCAAGGAGTCTTTGAACACCGTTTTGAGTGACGCCGCATAGTATTAGTTCCGTTCCTAGTTAGATCTAAGTTGTAGGGGTGATTGCAATGCTTGCACTTAACATCATAAGTCCCATCAGATAACTTATCTCCTACAATGGTAAAATGCTTCCAACATGTTGAGTGTCTACGTTTGGTACCTCTAGTCTAAGCCATACTCGTTACAGAATCAGCTTGTGCATTCTGATCGGCTTGTGCATTCTGATCCTCTTCATTCTCAGCCATCATGTCTTCATCACTCAAATAATCATAATCGTTGAGGTTCAAAATATCAGCATCCATCTACAAAAAAAAAAAGAGAACAAAAGAGAACATCAGTTATACACATAAACAGAAGACGAAAGAAACCACTTAGTCTTATACGTAATTATTTAAAATAAACTACTTACTCTTATACAAAATAAATAAAAAAAATTTTAAAATCTTCAAGGGTATTCACATAGTTTAACATTCACATATAAGCAACAAAAACACCATCAAGCAGTACACAAATCAAAACCAAAATGTGTTTTCAAAACAAAGTAGTACATATATAAAATGATAATGAAACATAAAATTCACAACTTGCATTTGATAGTGTCATATACTGCCATTATAGCTCGTCTAAGTTAAACAATTACAAATGTTTCATTACCAATGTGCCACGAACTCAATAAAATCAGGTTTTGCTATGTCCAAACAAACAGAAGTAACTAAGAAAGAAGAATAAAAGTGAAGACCTTTAGATCAATATTGGAAAGCTGAGATAGCTGACCAGCAACATATATATCATCTAGCTTTAAAAAAAAACTTATATCTCATCTGTATGTATATATTTGCATGTGTGTTTTGAAATTTTTAACAGAAAACAATCTATATACATAACCACATAGCAAACAAGGGGAACCAAAGATGATGACATGAGAATATGAGAGGAACAATATCAATTTGGTTATGCTCAAACCGAACCAGAAGTCATAAAACTTCTTGAAGACACTAAAACTCAGAGAAGTAGACGCATACCTCGTGAGTAGTGAACCGTGAGTCCGTGACCTTGAATTGAGCTCTCGTGATTCAATAACCCATCTAACACATAAGTACATAACTACATAAGACATGAATCAACATCTAATAGTGAAACCCATAACATGAAATCACACATAAACAAACACAAATCACACATAACAATAGTAAACGAGCAACAACCTTTGAAATATTAAAAAAAAAACGAATCTATTGCAAATCTGTGACAGAGATAGAGAGACAGAAACTAATTGATCAATTACTTATTACACGTTTATTTTACTTGATGGTACAAGTTGATCTACAAAGTATCCATTGCACACAAGAGAAGAAAAACTAAAAAGAAGAAACCCACGAAAAAACTTCTAAGTCAACAATTCTTCAAAGGTTAGAGAGAGAGAGAGAGAGAGAGAGAGCTCACTATAGCAAATCTGTGACAGCTTCCATCTATAGCATCTGAGTACGGATCTTCTCTTCTTTGTCTTCCTTTTCACCGATCCATCTGAGTATCTAACACTACACATAACACAAACCACAGATCCATTGAATCAATAGCTAATGAAAACCCATAACACAAATCACACATAAACAGTTTAAAGATAACAAAATCAAACCTTCAGGCTTCAGAGATGACGAAATCAGAAGA